GAGAAGATTGTGATTAGCAAGGTTAAGTCTAATAACCTGTAGTGGGGAATCAATGGTAATAACTGTGTAGTATGTTATGTATCTAACAGAGTTAAATGTTGTTAATGTGGAACACGTTTACAGTTATAGATATAAACTAGATAACATTTAATAATGCAGTAGAAAATTTTGAGGAATGTTTAATTGATGATCACTATTTGTGAGAATAATGAAGAAAAAATTCAGCTAAGACTGTTTGGTGAATGTAGCATATGCTATATGAAGAGAGGTATATTAATAAAAGGAAAAATTTATAGTCCCAAAAATTAAATGAATCTATCTATATCAAATGTATATCAATCATCCTAAACTAAAGATAGAGGTGGATAATATTAATATTATGCAAGAATAATTGTAGCATATATGTAACTTAAAGACAAATATTACAAAATAATACCTATATCATTATATATTAACACACATTTGAAAAGGAGGGATGGAAATGGTCAGGGAATAAAAATGGAAAATTTCATTTTATCTTTTCATTTTATTAAAAACTGTGAACTATTGTTGATTCGCCAACCCATGAGCATGGTATATTCTTCATCTACTTAATGTCCTATGCTTATTTCCTTCTTCAGGTTCATAGTTCGTCCCTGTAGAGAGTCTTTACTTTTAGTAAATATTCTCAAGTACTTTATTTCTTGTTGTTATTTGAAGAGAAATGATCTTTGATTTGGTCTAACTTTTACTGTTGTTGGCGTATATGAATGCCTCTATTTCTGTGTATTGATTTTATATCCTGAGACTCCTTACCAAATTCATGTTATCAATCAAGGAGTCTCTTGGTTGAATCCTTGGGTTTTCTAGGTATAATATCATGTCATCAGCGAGAGTGAGAGTTTGATCTCTTTCTCCCATTTGGACCCTTAATTCCGCTTTCTTGTCTGATGCTGTAGTGAAGGACTTCCAGCACTATGTTGAACAGAAGCTGGATGAATATGATGCAACCCTTGTCTTTTGTTTTCCTAGTTCTAAAGTTGGATATATTGCTTTAATAAAATTTCCCATTCAGCAATGATATTTGGCTGTGGGTTTGTCATCATTGTTGGATTTTGAGTTGAGTGTTCTATATATGGCTTGTATCATTTTTAGTAAGCCCCGTCTATGCCTATGTGATGCGTTCCTATCATAAAAGGGTGTTGAAGTGTTGTGTCAGGATGCTATTTCTGCGTTTGAGTGCAGGATCAAGGATGCATATTGATATTGCATTGACTGTTGTTTTGGAATGGCAGATATAGTCTGGATTCTTTGTGTTTTGCTACTCTGTTTATATGGTGAATCAACATTATGCAGATCTTGATGCTCATATTGGCTGAACCACGATTATCCTGCATTTGTTCTTCACCATTGGGATGAAGCCCATTTGGATTGGAGTGATATTGTGTTCTTGACAAACATCGGCTGACTTGGTCACTGGCAGTTACGTATTTTGTTGTGAGATTTGCAGTCTAGGATTCATTGGAAGGATGTGATAGTAGTTGCTGCGTGTATGTATGTTCTATTATTGTGCTTGCCTTCATCCTAGTATTTTTATGGTATTCAGTGGGTATGCCCCCAATTAGAATTCATGGATTGGATAGGAATTAAGAATGTGAGATATGCAGTGTATAAAGGCATGGAGTGCTGTTTGAGTAGTGTACTCACGTCAGCGTATAAGAAAGCAACAGAAATATGAAGCTACGTCTTGTAATTAGTTTAGGTTTATACGCTGGATATAAGCTGGATACGAGTCATTCTAATACATGACGACACCGCATGATAGAATGGATATCAACCAGCCTGACCACATTGTGGTAGACTATCCGGGGCAGCAAATGGATAGTTAACGATAAGCATCGTAAGTGGACATAGTAGCGAGTCACAGTTCATCAGGTGTGTGTTGGGCACACGCAAGGTGGGGAGGGAGTAGGGAATGGTGTAATACAACCCACAACAAGTAAGAGATGTGCAACGTTATGGGAGATGGGACAGTGCTTGAAGGTCTATTCGAGGGTACAGAGGGGTGCATTAATCAGTATATAGAGCATTAACACGTTGTCACCGCCAGTAATACGCTGTTAGATTAGGAAAGGTGAGCACTGTGAAATAAATGTGATCAGAATTATCTAGTTATACATGGGAAATTGTGATCTTAGGTGATTACTAGATAAGTCTTCGGGAGCCTATCTATATTGTTTCAAATTAAAAGTAATTAGAAACATGTAGAGTTATACGTGAGTTTAGATTAAATAATCTGTAACAGTTGAAGAAGGTGGTGAAAATTAGAGAAGACACTGAAGTGAAAGTAGAAGGCCGTGTGCAGTGGGCTTCACACCTGTAAGGCCGAGGCATTCTGGAGGTCCCAAGGGTAGTGGACCACTCAAGGTCAGGGGTTAGAATACATAGCCTGAGCAATGACGATGCACCTATCTCTACTACTAAATTAGAAGTAGAAATGAATTGCCAATCTATTAAAATTAATACAAATACGATATAGTCCGGGCGATGAGGAAAACTGGTTAGAATCTGTTATTACTCCAGCACTCGCGGAGTCTGAGGCAGCAGGGTCCTTGAGCCAGGAGTTAGAGGG